ACGCTCAGCATAAAAATCTGTAGATGTTCGGAACCAATAAAGAAATATATGTTTATCTGTATATGCACGTTCTTCAGTATCATCTGGTAGTTCTGTATTACTGAGCTTTCCAAAGCTCACTCTGTTACTCACATTTTCAGGTTAAAAAAATCGTATCAGTGCATCTATCGACATCAGTAAAAATGTTCTTCCGGCGTTGTTTGCAGAGTATGATACATGTGATTAGGGGGCATGTAATTGTATTTTGTTTTATATACGAGTCTGAAAATTTGTTTTATTTCTGCATACTGATAAATCATTTTATAAGTTATATGCTTTAATAAAAGTTTTAAAATTTCCGCTATTTTTACAGTGGGTCGCTTCGTTGACCTTAATGTGACACTCCAGATCGGATCGGGTTAACCGCATCGGTCTGAGGGGGTTACATTTTTATTGCCAATTCACTCCCTTCTTGGCTATTTCGTCGATCGATTAACTCAACACATACTCTTGGTCTTCTTCTCCACCAACCGTCTATGTTGAAACCCTAAATGTTGTTGGTTTGTTCCATCTCAACTTTGCAACTACTCGTGATTTTCTCCGAGCTGCGTTGTTGGTGATCAGCGTTGAGAAGGCCAAATTGATTTGTGATCGAAGATTTACGGAAAACTCGTCGTCTATATGAATTAATTTTTATGTTTGTCTTCTTTGCCTTCCTAAATTTCATCAATAGTCTGTTAGTTTTTACATCTTCTGCTCCAACAACGACCATAGTAAGTTCATCATCAGCCAACTCAAGGATACCAACAATGACATAATTAACGACCCAGTCGTATAATTGAAACCAAAATCAAAGTTCAGTACTATGATTGACAAAACTGAACGTTCAGTAGTATAAACGATACAACGCTTAAAGTTCAGTGGTATTTGGTGGAATTTACCGAAATAAAAATCATATATTATTATTGTTGTTATTGTGTCGTAACTAGATGTGGACCCGAGAGTAGGGAACACCTTAGTCTCAAAAGTTTTAGAAATTTTTTATTGAACACTTTAAAGTTTTTAAAATTTTAATTTGATCCATTTTTAAGAATTTTCTATGTTTAATTTTTTTTTGGATATTTTTAATTAGAATTCTTCAAAGAAATTATTTTTTATTATATCTCTTATTTTAAAAAATATTTAAACATACGTTTTCTTTAAAAAGATTTATCATTAAATCCTTGAATTTGTTTTTAAAATTTTAACTAGAATCTCCAAACTATTTTACCGAAATCTATTAGACTATTACCTGTGATAACATGTCCCATGTTTACTTGAGTTTCATAATATATTTGGAAACATAAATTGTGTTTAATATATGAATAATTTATAAGATAATATTTGTTTATAATTTATTTTAGTTTATTAGTAATGCATATATCTTGCTATGCCTATCATTTAATATGCAGGCGTTATTGTTGGAATCCGAAACTTTAAAAAAATATTTTTTTATCGTTGAATTAAATCAATAAGTTTTTAGAAGCGCAAACTTAAATACTGAATATCAATAAGAAAGGGTCCTTTATACATGGCAATAAATTAATTGTTGAATTTACAAGTGGATTTTTATATTTCGATAAGAAAATAACAGGAACTATAAACATACATCTGGTGGATAATCAATCCAATTGCATAGTCAAAGTGTGTCATTTTCATTCACAAACATGAGATAAGCCAAGCAGATGAAATCAAAGCATTAAAAATGGAGATGGACCATTCAAGCATTTCCATCCACGGCTCAGCCCTTTTTCTGTCTTGGCATATTTATACAAATTATCCCATCGTCGCTTTCATGTACCTGAGCAGCTGACCTTGCTCCCAAATCTAGGGTTAATATTAGGGGTGTTCAAACTTCCTTTTTACTCTAATTAACCGAGCGAACTGATTTTTTGGGGTTAATTTCAGGTTTGATCGATTAACGGATAGTGAATTTTTGAAACTTCAGTTATCGATTAATTCGATTCGAAATCGGTTAATTAAAAATTAAAAATTTTAAAACTACAACTGTCCATGTCCGTCTCTCGATCCATCCCTAATAATAACGAATACATACTTCCAAAAGATCAAGGGTGGAGTGTATTAGAAAACCTAAATCTCAGCTGTGTCGGCAAGTAATATTTATTAACTACATTAATGGAAGGAAATTAACCTCATAAATGGTAATTGGTTAGTAAGGAAGAAGTTGAAAAGTACAAAAAGTGGGTTGGAGGATTAATTTGAAGGTTCTTTAAAGCCTAAGGTTTGCATCATGCCGACTTTAGACGTGTTTTCAATTTTTTTTATAACAAATAATATTAATTTTTAAATTTAAATAAAATTTAAAATGTATAATTTATGAAAAAATTGATTGACTTGTTAATGTTTTGATACTCAATTATATAAATACTTTTATTCCGAAAATAAATGAATATGCCATTCACTGGAAAAAATATATGTCGCATAAATATTAATATTCCTCAAAATAAACAATTGAAATAAATAATTTTAGGTGGGATGTGTAGAGCTCGGTATTTTCCATTTTCCACTTGAAATTTGTATTGCATTAATGCTATTAATTAATCTCAGTACATTATTTTAATTCCCATTTTAGATATATCGGCCTAACCGGAAAAGATAAATAATAAGGGTATCTTGTAATTAAACCTCACGGATGCACCCAACACAACATAAATTCAGCCTCAATATCAGTCCTTTTTTTTATTTCTTTCCTTATTATAATAATAATAATTATATTTATTATTAATCTAACTGTGCTTATAATATTTTATTATATTGAATATTTAATTTGATACATTTTTTTTATGATATTATTAATATATTTAAATTAATATGTATTTATCACTTTACCAATCAATAATTTGAATAATTGTTTCCGCCAACGAACTCACGACCTATATGCACCTCCAATCCCACAACCTATGTGAACCTTAGAACTTCACGTCTCGTGCGAACCTCTAGGTATGCGAAATTCTAGACTTGTGGACTACTAATAACGACCATGTGTCAATTGCCAACTATATCTGTTGATATCTCCCAGATATGATCATGGTGGCCACATGTTGATTACATGTGATTTCTTTTGATGACAAACTAGTTTAAATCATCACTACATTAGACATCCAATTAATATCAATACCATAATTCTTAATCGACACCCATCTAAAAATTATAAATAGCCATTCAACAAAGAATGAGAGGACATATACTCTCCTTCACCACAAAACTAAAATAAGACTATCGGAGTCACGATCTAACAATCTTTTATGGTTGTTGACCACTTTATCAATCGACAATAGTACCCTTAATTGTTATTATTAAAATGATGATATAGAAATTTTAAAAAACAAATTTAAATTTAAATATTAGACTAATATGTATATTCAGTATTAGATGATCCACATGTGTCGACAGCTCGGAGATAATTCGAGTCGGTCCTCGCGTAAATGCACGAGGGACCATCTCGATTATTCGATTCGATAATTAATTAAAATCAAATAGGATTAATATTAGACCTTACATTTATGTTTAGTCCCCTAGGTCCCTTAAGCTAGAAAAAATCTTTAATTTATCGTAGCTTAATTAGGATTAAATAAAAATTTGTTTGATTGCATTGCATTGCGTTTTTAAAATCTAAGGCAATGTTTACTTATTAGGAAATTAATGGTACATCTCCTGCAAGTGTGCTCAGGGGGTAACTATTGACGATTCTCGAAATAAGTCGACATCATTTTCAAAACCGCATCATATTTTCTAAAATTAAGGCAATGTTCGATTATTAGGCACAATAGTTGATATCATGTATTTATGCTTGGGAGCGAATGCTATCGGTCTCAATAAACGAACATCATTTTCAACTTTTTGTATTCGTAATGATTTTTAAATTAAATAAAGATCGAACTCAAATTTTTCGATTTTAAATATAAGGTAATCGACTAGGTACCAAATTTTGGGCGCGTGTGGGGGGGGTGTTAATCATTTCCCACGCGTAACTGACTTCCAAACCCGATTTTTGGATTTTCACAGACCTTAAAACTCGGTATTTTGATTAAAAATAAACATTTTAATAAAATCATCCGGTTTTCATGGTGTCCTAATCGCACCTTAAACGATTTGTGGCGACTCCTCACATTTCAAAAAACCTTTTCAAAAGAGAAAATCCCTAAGTCGGTATCGATCTTTTCCCGCCCGGACGAAAAACGGCGTCGCCAATATGCGACTAATTACTAACATAAAAATGATCACAATTAGGAATGATAATTTAATTTGGATTCAATAAATTTTGATATGATATGATAGAACTTTTTAAAAAATAATTAGATCTAAATCAAGTTGGGTCAAATTTAGTAAATGATGAGTTGGGTCGAGTTTGAGTTTAAGGTAAACATTTTTTATCCGACCCGATTCAGAATAATAGCATAAATTTCTTATGTAAATTTAGGGATAATTGCTATAATATCCATCTTTATAGTTTTTTTTTCAATTAGGTCTATATTTTATCAAATAAAAATGTCTTTTTAATATTTATGTCGGGTTAGATCATATGTGAGGTTTTACGCCAAAATTTGAGTTGGGTTGAGTTTGGTTGGAAGAAATATACTTCTCGGATCTTACCAAATTTGAATGAAAGGAATATGTTTATCGAATTGTGACAGATTCGAGTAAAGGGAATATATTTATAAGATTAGATCAAATTAACCAAAAATCTAATCCAACTAGACCTATTACTATCTCTAATCTCAACTCATAAGTAGAGGTGTTATGAATGTAAACAACTTAATCATTATAAAAATAGAGTACTAAATCATTCCAATTAATCACAAATTACAGCATAATAGTGGGATTAAAACTAAAATTAGACACTACATTCATGGTGCAAATTGAAAATGGTATGGGCCCTTTATCTTCCCCAGACCAAACCCGATTCATCTTCCCTTCAAATATCAAATTCAGTTTCTTTCTCACTATCGCCATTCCCCCAAGCCCCTGTCGCTGTAAACAATGGAGTCCTGTCTAGACGACTTAGCCGATGATCTACAAAGCCTAAGCTTCACCTCCACTTCCACTGCCACCATAAACCGAAGCACCAGCTCAGGTTCCGCCTCCAACTCCGGCTCTTCCACCCTCGCTCCCTCAACTCACGGCTCATTCTCTTCCAAAGCCATCCGTACCGGCTCACTCTCCATGGCCGACCTCCGCTTCTCAATCCGCCTCGGTTCCGGTGATATAGGCTCAGTTTACTTAGCCGAGCTCAAGTCTCAACTCCCATCCCCCGACAGCAATGCCGCTAATACAAACAACAAAATCAACAAAAAAGAAGTAGTTTTTGCAGCGAAAGTGATGGACAAAAAAGAACTAGCGTCGAGGAGTAAAGAAGGGAGAGCGAGGACGGAGATGGAAATACTGGAATCGTTAGACCATCCTTTTTTACCTTCCCTCTATGCGGTTGTAGAATCCCCTAAATGGCTCTGTTTATTGACGGAGTTTTGTCCCGGCGGCGACCTTCATGTTCTCCGTCAACGTCAACCTCTCAAACGCTTCCCTGATTCCGCCGTCAGGTATCTCCTCTCCGTTGTCTCTCTTTTAATATACGCTAATCACATCCAACGTTTTTTAAAAATATTTTAATTATCAAATTATTTTTACTTGATTTTCTTAAAATTAAACTATTTTTGAAAAAAAAACTAATTGTTTTTTTTCAAAAGTTATTATTATTTCACCAATTAATTTAATTTAATAAAACGTATTGTGGCCGAACTTATTTATTGATTTTTATCTTACGGTAAATAGATTAGATTGATTTCATCCCTTTTAACTAAGATTGACGGTAGATCCGGGGATCGATTTGGGATATTAAAGTCAAAACGTGTTGGAGATTTGACTTGTTATCTTGTAAACCAATAACTGTCGGACACGTAAATTATGGAAATAGTGCCTAAAATATCGGATCGGCGCCAGCTTGACCCGGTTTTTTTTTGTTTTTGGGTAAAAGGGCCAATTAATTTACCCAACACAGCTTAACCCAGCAGACAAAGCGATATAATGATCATTAATTAACTGTTAAATCATGTATTATGTGCTTCTATAATTATGTACCTTTTAAGATTATTAATTACTAGTACGAAATAAGGTAAAATTCTTGGATAATGGGTTGAGAGAAAAAGATTAGTTCATTTAAGCTAATGGAGAAATTATTTGTTTAGATATGCTGTCTGTTATTTTGTTTTTGAGAACTTTTTTGACTACTCGACATCTTTGAAAAGACACTAAAAAATAATTTTTTGTTACATGTCGGAACATCAAGTCTAATAGAATAAGAATATAAAAAATGTCGAGTGATATAGTCGCCTTCCCATATAAATTAAGTGGTCCATAAATCTTTCTAAAAAATAAAAATACTATAACGAATATATTATCCTTGTAAATAATTTACTCAAACACCCTAAATGAGTGAAATCTTTTTTTCCCAAGAAAACCTCAAGTCTAACAGGGTAGTAATACAAAAGACGTTAAATGATTTAGACGCTTTTAGAATCGTCGAGTGATTCACGTGTCTTTCAAAAACACCATAACAAATATTCTATCTTATCAAATATTTTACTTAAGCACCCTGAATGAATCCATTTTTTTTTCTAAACTTTTTTACGGATGAAGTAGTTTAATATAAGAACATATACAAACTTTAATATCAGAAAATATCAATTTAAAAATTTATATTAAAATTTTAAGGATGTAACATTTCATAAATATGGAACTAAATTATCAATAAAATTATAAAAAATATTTAAATTCTATTAAAATTCAAAATTTTAATCTTTGAACACCCCTATATCTATCTTTGATTAAATATCCTTCTTCTTTTATGGATTTCTGGGATTTGTTTATAAAGTTTAATCTTTGATTTGATGAGTGTAGACCCTGTCTTCAAATTTTATTTATACAGCTCTCCTGCCCCTCCCCTAACCATTCAATACTAATATTGACATTTTATTTATAAATCAGATCAAACATTGCCACTACCACTTGGACTGGATTTTGTATTTCAGAAAGTAGGGTTAAATAGAAAACAACAAATCTTTCCGCCTTTCACAATAACCACTCCATCCTCACATGATTGATGCAAAATTTTTCCTCTATGCAATATTACATGATTGTGAAATCATGTCCTCTAATTTTTATTATTTATCTTCAAATTTGATAGATTATTTAGACTTTTAATCACTTGATAATAAACGTTTAAATATTTTCGTAGACAATGTATTCGAACCTAAAATCTCTAGAGATAACAACTATTCTTTCAACTATTGAGATCATTTGATTTCTGCCTATCATTACCTTTTAAAATATATTTTTAGAGTCATAAATAATATTAGATTAAATAAGTAGTTTTCCGGATCAAAAATATTTTTTAAAACGATAGAAAATTGCTTTTGAAAAGCTAAAATTTTTAGGTCAAAATTATTTTTGAACAAAATTATTCATTTATATTTATGTTATAAACCTTTAGTGTTTTCAAAAGTAGTATTTAAAATATTTTTTATCTATTCAAAAGTATCTTTTGATAACAATAAACACAAATTATTCATTTATACTTATCTATGTCATAAACCTTTAGGTAATTTTTAAAATAATATTTTTATATGTTCAAAAGTACTTTTTTATAACAATAATCACATAAATTTTAAATCAAATAATTCGAAAGCATTTTTAAGAATATTTTTCAAATATAATGTTAAACTAGTCCCTAGACATGTTCTCTGCTTCCCCACCCCCACAATATTATGTCATTCAAAGACACCCAAAATACTAGGGAACATCTAGGAAGAGTGCAAGGGGAATAAACTGCACTATAAGGACACAAATTTGATTGCATTACTTTTTCCTGTTGAAGATTTTTGCCTCTGATGCATTTAGAAAAAGAGACACGTAGGTCCCTGAAACTCTACATTATGTAGTCGACGCTGAAGCAAAATAATTAATTGTGTTAGTTTAGTTTGTAAACCAAGTTTAAAATGGCAATGGACGAATGATGATGGTAGTAGGCCCTTTAGGCTAATCTGATAAAAAAGTTGATGACATTATGAATATGAGCATCTCAATTATTTTCTTGTCTATTAATTTTCTCCCTTTTTAACTCCAGCTATCCATGGACCCTAGCTCGGCATTGTTGATCTTAATCAACGTAATGAGATAATGATGAAACTGATTAAAATTATAGCTACCTGATTGTTTTTGTTTATTCTTGGTGTCTGCAGGTTCTATGCATCAGAGGTGGTGGTGGCGCTAGAGTACCTTCACATGTTGGGGATTGTTTACCGTGATCTAAAGCCTGAAAACGTGTTGGTTCGAGCGGATGGTCACGTTATGCTTACGGATTTCGATCTCTCGTTGAAATGCGATGATTCTACGTCAACGCCCCATATCATTTCCAATCAAAGACCGCCTATTCCAGGTCTGCAAAATGATCATCCTCCTTTCACATCCTCTTCATGCATCATCCCAAATTGTATAGTGCCTGCTGTGTCATGTTTCCACCCCAAACGGAAACGTAAAAAGAAGGCTGCCCATCGCAGTGGGCCTGAGTTTGTGGCTGAGCCTATCGATGTCCGGTCCATGTCTTTCGTAGGGACACATGAATACTTGGCACCGGAAATCGTGTCCGGTGAGGGCCATGGTAGCCCTGTGGATTGGTGGACATTGGGGATCTTTATATATGAAATGTTTTATGGGTTAACACCATTCAAGGGGGTGGATCATGAGCTAACCTTAGCCAACATTGTGGCTCGAGCCCTTGAATTCCCCAAAGAACCAGCAGTACCAGCAGCAGCTAAGGATCTTGTTTCCCAGCTATTGGTCAAGGATCCTGCAAGGCGGTTAGGGTCCACCATGGGTACATCGGCCATCAAGCACCACCCATTCTTCCAAGGGGTCAACTGGGCATTGCTAAGATGCACATCCCCACCTCACGTACCTCCACCATTTAGTAAAGATGTATCGGATGAAAGCTGTCCAGACACCCCAGTAGAGTATTATTAGGTGAAGTAAAGAAATGATTAGTAAATAAGAAAAAAAACCCAAGAATCACCATAGAAATCATGTAACTTGTGATTATATTTTCGGAATCTCTCTTGTAATAACTATTCATTTTTCTTGAATTGTTTATGCTTGTCTAAAGTATATTCGAATTTAATTATCTAAACATATAAAAAAATGAAAGATTGATTCTGACTACTGAGTCGGGGAGATGGCCGCCGATTGTGGAGGGTCGGAGAATGGAGTTAACAATGCACGGGGGAATGGAAATTGGTTCTTTTTTCGACGTTAGCCCCTGCCATGTGATTTGGTTACTGCCTAGGGAAAATGTGGGGACTCTTGCCATGATCCTTTATATGGGCTCACATGATTATTGCCTACTTCCATTTTGATGCCATCAAATGGTTTAATATTTTTGTCACCACTCTCAATGGCATCTAAGATCGCATGAAAACCAATAGTTTTCGTAAATCCCCGATCCAACCATCACTAGCTTCGCGTAATACACCTCCACATGCTGTCAATCCAAACATAGGTTTCCTTAAGCCATCGGTATTGAGCTTATAGGTGGAGGCTCCCTCCTAAACAAGCGTCCAGCATCCCTTTGACGATCTATTGTTGCAGCACCGTGCAGTGCAAGAGCATGAATAACCTTCATTGTTAACCTGCGACTACTCTGCAAGACACTACCCACTTGCATAAACTCGGGTTCAAACACTTATTTTATTTCATCGTATCCAAAGACACCATAAAATCGAGCCAGATAACAATTCTCTATCCACCGAAAAATAACTGGGTAACTGGATGTTCAACATAATCCAGTCCACGACATCCATGCAGATAAACTCATCAAATAATTGTAGCTTCACAAGTTCATTCCAAGAGGTTTGAGCGATCACACATTCATGAAATACGTGCGATATAGACTCTAAAGGAGCACCACAACTAACGTCTCAACTTCTCCCTCTCGACACTATAAGCACTTCACCCATATCTACATGCTGAAGTTTAACAGAACGCTTGTCCTTAGTGTGACCCTAAATAAAATTACGAATCATTCGTTTGATATCATCACAATTACCTTTACACAGATAACATCACATATGAAGGCAAATCATTCAGTCAACAAATTTAGTCACGACAATTCGACCAGCTAAAGATAAATATTTAGCTCGCCAACCGAATAACCTATCCCGAAAAATATTATTATATCACTTTATTTGGAATAGTTTGTAAGGTGTGACCCGGACTTTTCAGGGTTTATGAATTTGTCTCTTAATTTTATTTCGTGTGCATTTTAGTCTCCAAGCTTTTACTTTAGACACCAAATTTTGAGTTTTATTCAATTTAATATTTAATTATTCTAATATTTATGCAATTTGGTCCCTTTACTTTATCATTATGGTAATTAAGCCTTCCAAAGTATATTTTCATCTAAATTTATCCTTATGAAGTTTACACTCAATTCAATTAAACCCTTTAAAACTTGCATTTCTTCCAATTTGGTCTACTATAGTTTGAAAATCATAAAACTTCCAACCCCAGAATCAGGGTGTGACAAACTACAGTGATATTCGAATCAATCCTAACGTTTTGAAGTGTCTTGTCAAGTGTAGCTACATATTTTGAGATCAACATGATATGGTAGCGAATTTGGGAAGTTTGAGGTATTTTTTAGTGAAACAGACAACAAATTCTCATTTAGGAGGCTAAAAATGATTGGAAATTTTGTGTCCAACAACAAACAACGAAGGTGGCATGAGACTTTTTTGGTTGGATTTTTTGGGGTTTTTTAAGAACATGAAAAATAAATGAAATAAAAGTTATAGATTAAATTGATAATTTGTCTAAATTTTAAAGGTCAAATTAGAAATTAACAAATTTTTAACATGTTGAATCATTAAAATAACGATAGTTAATAGATAAATGACAAAATTGTAACAAATCCATAACTCAAGTAGTCGAAATATAACTTGAATTTTATGAAATTGAATAAAAATTAATATAAAATTGACTTGAATGGTAGTTTACCCAACAATTTTCTTCTTCTTCAAAACTTTAAAGTAAATCCTAGTTTGATCATATGTAAAACTTGAAAGCTCAACGTAAATAACAAGGAAGTTTAAAGTTAAAAGGTCGATGTAAATTACTTGAAATCCCAGCAACGGGAGTAAAAGACAGGGTTTTTCCCGTTTCTGAATTTGGATTCCTTTAGGGTTTTATATCAGGGAAGCTATTATCCATGGCTACTCCAAGCCATCACCAAAATCCGACCAATCCAACCAGAAAAAAGAAAACCCTGAAAAACCCAGTAGCCAATTTTCTATATGAACTCCATTCTTGCTCCAAATCCAAGGACCTCAAAGCAGCAATTTCGCTCTATGAGTCTGCTATTTCCAACGAAACTCGCCTCAACCAAGACCATTTCAACACACTGCTTTACCTTTGCTCCACTTTTGCCACCGACCCCTACTCCAAAGACCTTGCTTTACAATATGGGTTTCGAGTTTCTGACCATATGATGTCCTTAAATATCCGTCCTAACGAAGCTTCTGTTACCGCCATTGCCCGCTTAGCCGAGGCCAAAGGTGATGGGGATTACGCTTTTGAAATTGTTAAAACGTTGGGTGATTATCAGGTTCCGCCACGGCTTCGTACTTATGAGCCTGCATTGTTTTGTTTTTGCCAGAAGTTGGAAGCTGACAAGGCTTATGAAGTTGAGGAGGATATAAATATCATGGGATTGAGCTTGGAGGAACCTCAGATTGCTGCTTTATTGAAACTTAGTGCGGATACGGGGAGAGAGGAGAGAGTCTACAATTATTTGCATAAGTTGAGGAGGAGCGTGAGGTGGATCAGTGATGAAACAGGGAAGATTTTGGAGGATTGGTTTTTATGTAAAACATGTGAGATTGGTTCTGAGGGAGCGAAATATGATGTGGATTCAGTGAAAGAAGCGATTTTGATGAATGGTGGGGGGTGGCATGGGTTGGGGTGGATTGGGGAAGGGAAGTGGGTCGTGAGGAAAGGGAATGTTGAGTCGAATGGTCGATGTTGTAGCTGTGGAGAACAGTTGGATTGTGTTGATATCGGTGACGTCGAGACAGAGAAGTTTGCGCTTTCGGTTGCTGGCTTGGCTATGGAGAGGGAGGTTAAGGCTAACTTTAGGGAGTTTCAGGTGAGGAACACATTTGCAATGTTCTTTCGTTTTTTATTTTTATTATCATTTTTACGATAGATAGAATATTGAATGGTTTGTATGATAGATAGAATATTGAATGGTTTGTATGATAGGTAGAACATTGAATGAATGGACCCTCAATAACGGGTTTGTAGATTACTAGATGTAGACCTTAGTAGGTTGAGACTCTTGGAATTTATTTTGATCAATTTGCTAGTTATAATTTCTTTACATCGCCTGTTGGTATAATTTGTGAAGGCTTGGTGTTCGTAGTTATTATAATTTGTAGGTTTATTCAAATTCTTCTTTTGCTTTTGTATTTGTATACATCGATTTTGGATTTAAGAATGTCCACACTAATCTTGCTTGATCTTCCATATACAATCAATCTTTACCAGCTCTATATTTCCAGGCTGCTGGAATACACAAGTAGAAAATTATGCATCCCGTTATAAAGGTTTAAATATATGCAAATGCAATGACTAAAATTTCTTTAGAGCATCCTTGGGAATTTGCTTTCGATCATTACCTGTGGGAAAAGCTTGCCGAAATTAATCATTTCTCAACTTTCCTATAACTTGTTAGAAAAGTCTTTTGCTGGCAGACCTTTATGCATGTTGTGACAGGTTTCTTTCCTTGCTTATTAATTTAGAGGCAAAGAATAAAAACTTTATAATCAGTCAAGCATAACAGATGTGAACCTATAAATTATACACTGCTTGAAGAACCAGACAATGTCAGAAGATAAATGAGGCATAATTTTGACAAAAACTATATCTTGATATCATTGGACTCCATTTTGCCTAATTCTTACTGTTTTTTATTTTCTTCTTATTATTTTATATATCATTAATACAGGATTGGTTGGAAAAAAATGCCAATTATGAAGCCATAGTGGATGGAGCAAATATTGGGCTCTACCAACAAAATTTTGCAGATGGTGGATTCAGTGTTATTCAGGTTGTATATCCAACAGTTGGCTTGTCTACTTTGCATATATATTGCACTTTATCTTCTGTCTCTCAACTTGTGTTGCTAATTGTTGTGCATTTTTGTAAAATTTGCGATAGAACAGCTCGATGCTGTCGTAAAAGAAATGTATACTAGAACTGGGAATAAATGGCCACTTGTCATCCTGCATAATAAACGTGTGCGAGCCCTCTTGGAAAATCCTTCCTCTCGAAAGATGGTTGAAGAATGGATGGCTAATGGTATTCTTTATACAACACCTCATGGTGCCAATGATGACTGGTATGGACATCGAAAAATAATGAGTTTGATTCATTTATTAGTTTGAGACATTTGATTTAATATCACAGTTTTGCTTAAGTCAGCACTCATTGCAATTTGAGCATGACCAAAAAAATTCTTCTATCTACAGGTATTGGCTTTATGCTGCTGTAAAACTTAGATGTCTGCTTGTGACGAACGACGAAATGCGAGATCACATTTTTGAACTCCTAGGAAACAGCTTCTTTCTCAAATGGAAAGAAAGGCACCAGGTTTGTGCTGTCTGAAAGCCTAATGGACAAATGGCAATATTGTTCCTCCTTTGTCGACTTTATTATTTTTAAAATTTACAGTTTAGTATATTATTTTATTTTTCTGCATCGAGTTTTTGCACCAGAAATGCCTTTTTATCACATGATTGTATCATGTGTAACACACTAAAACTCTGAACTTTACTAGTAGGTTCAGTTACTCTATTACTCTGTACAAGACATATTCTTACGAATTATTATGGTCGAATTCTTTTTCTGGACATGGCTTTCTATTTCGTTTGCAGGTTCGATATACTTTTCTGAAAGGAACCCTGAAACTTCAGATGCCACTCACATACTCTATCTTCATTCAGGTATTCAATGGTTATTTGATTTTGTATTTTCACATTGGAGGAATGTTATGATTTCTGGCCATTGATGAACGACTTGTGTATTAGCTCTTGTATTTGCCATTGGAATATAAAAGAAATGAACCTCTATTTCAGGAATCTGAGAAAGGATCATGGCATGTCCCCATTGTAGGCAACAGTGACGAGGAGACATCGAGAACTTGGCTTTGCATTACCAGGCCAGGTGCTTGTGAAGATGGCAGTAAAACTTGTGAAATCGATAATGGACCCTGCTGCAAGTCACCCATATCAGAAGAAGGCGAGAACAGAAGCCATGAAAAATCCGATGATAAAAGCACATCGATGACAGGTAAAAGAAAAGATAGATCCCCTTGATTCTATTCAACTATTGTTACAAGTGGCAAAGCTGAAACCTGTTTCAAAGTGCCCGGAGTAGTTCTTGTAGTTTGGTTTGTATCATTTAATCTGCAATTCGAAACACACTTCCATTTTTTGCACAAATCCTCCATATGCTGCAACTTCATCCCTTATTATAACATCGGTTTTCTGTTATCTGGTTTGGTACATCTTAAAAGATAGTGTTCAGTGATGTAGAATGATTGATTCAGCCAGGAGTCGGGAATCGAACGTCTCAAAAACCACAAACTTGAACACATATTCATGAAGATTGAGGTATATATTTGGCAGACAGTATGATGGAATATAGTTTGATGATAAGGTATTCTTGGTAAACACTTTGTTGACAGCTAAACATGATAAATCGGATAATGCCATGCCATGCCATGAACTAATTAAAACCATGAAGTTGATAAAGCATTTAGGAAATACAATCCTTATTACTCGCGGTTTTCGAATCATTTGAAAATATATTTTACGATGCCAGGAATATGAATGTTCATGAAGTAATCTTCCCAATCAATGCATTTGGGGTCGAAATACAACATATCCTTCTCCACCAGGCTTGTTCTTGCTGCCATTCGCAACTTCTCCGTGTTCAAATCATCGAAACTGTACTCAAAGAGAGTTAAATATGCAATCTATGTATAGATAGATGGATGGATAGATAAAGAGACTTACACAGCATTGAAGAACAAGTAAGGTCTATAAATATCGACCAATCGCATAACAAAGTTGATCTTCCTGTTTAGGTTACTGTAAACGCCTTGAAAGAAGTGACAGAATGCTGCATTTGTCAATTCCAGTCCCTATAACCAACACAAAGAAAACGAATTGGTTTAAATGATGTTTGATAAGAGGTTGAAGAAGGGTAATTGGGGGACCTTGAGAAGAAACAAGTAGCGAAAAGCCATGTATCTGTGGAAGCTATCCATGCTGTTGAGAACTGTGACTTTGCCCACAATCACAGGCTTCCCGTCTTTGTTGATCCATGGTTTGTTGGAGAAGTACCGGAAGCCGTAGTCCTGGAGATGAGAGTACTTGATGGGGTTCTGAACCGAGGAACCGACTTGATAAATCGACTCAAGCGGTCTGTGCGACGCGTGAGCCATCATTGCTGCTATCATGGCGTTCACCACCATGTCTGCTGGTATCTGCAAACAACACTATCGAATTCAATCCAGTTCCGATTGCTGAAATTAACAATGGCTTAGACTAGTGGACATGCATTAGGGGGAATGACTTCAAGGACGGATACATGAATTTATGTCAAGGTACGAAGTTATATCAATCCATCCTTGAGCGATTTGATGTTAAAAGTGGAGGATAACTCTTCAACTCACCACATCAACTACGGAGTCCAGATTTCCCAGGAAGAAAGTCAGTTTCCCTTTAGCATAACCAACTGCAAGGCTATCAATGGTTCTATCATTAAAACAAACAGGTAGAGTTAGTTAAGAAAAAGGAAGAATTGAAGCTAAATGTGTAGTTAATAATATTAAATATTTGATTTAAATGAGTCAATTAGTAAATACCTGATTCCTTCGGCCCAGCCAGGGAAGGGCTCTTTGTAGGTGCTGGTGATGATGGTAGGGCGAATGATGAGTGCTGGTACAATGCCTTTCAACTCCCCTACCACCATTTCTCCCATTGCCTTTGTAAATACGTACGTGTTTGGCCATCCATAAAGCCTTGCCCTGTTTTACCATTTTCAATTTTATTTTAGGGTCCGTTTATTCCATTAAAAACTTATTTTTATAAAAATAATTTTTAAAAAATCATTGTACGGTACCTATATAATAATGTGTCGACTATTTACTTCAACCTATTTAATTTATTTTACTTCTTTCGTTCAATTTAAGCATTTATTAAATGAATATCCTACATTTTAAGCCTTGTCCCGTGCTTCAAGGGAAACAATTGTACCATGCGTCTCCTTTCTAAAATTAATGACCCATTTCAAGCTTTCCCACTTCTTCTACGTGGAAAAGCCTTATATCGTTAAAATAGTAATATATTTCTATAAGTGTAAAAATCATTTTATAATAGTTTAATAAGTGTAAAGATTATTTGACAATAATTTAATAAATTTAATGACTATTTTATAATAATTTGATAAATTTTAATGACCATTTATAATTATTAAAAAAATTAATGATCATTTTATATTATCTAAAAAATTAGTGACTAAAAGATCATTTTTATATAACTAAAAAACATTTAATATAGTTTACACAAATATATAATCTTATCTCGATCTAAACACAATTTTTTAGAACCTATTGAGTGATTTCAGTAGTTAAAAAAATTATTATTTTCTCTTGAAGTCCCGGATTCAAACAATTGTGTTTGCATGAAGTGTGTGCATTGTCAATATAATTAAAAAAAATATGAACAGATACTACTTTATAATTACCTCATTGTATTATTTTAGATATAATAAAAAGGAATATAATCACCTCATTGAAGAAATATAAAAAAGAATTTAATTTGATGGAGCAATCAAATCAAATTTAAACTTGAAACCTACTCAGCAATTAATGTTATGGGGGACGTAGCATGAGGGAAACGGCTGGTGTTTTATGTTTTTGCTTTTAATTTCATCAATTTTGGGCGGCCGTGTTTGGTGTATAACTGACCAACTTATTAATGTTCTTTCCCCCCATTCATTTATCAGTAGCTACACAAACTATCTGATATGTTTAACAAATTAATATATAATATAATATAACGTAAATTTTATTAAACCAATTATTAAATATAATATAATATAGGGTAAACTACACGTATAGAACTTAAACTATTACTTTTATTTTGTTTTAGTATCCGAACTTTATTCTTTTTTAAAACCATTGGTTTAAGATTCAGTTAAATATCTTGTGGTTAAAAATATTAACAAAACTGCTAACAAGCTATTTGTTTTTTATATATTTTCAATGACGATATAGAAATTACCTTATGGTGATACGTCAACGTTACCGTTAAGTTTTTAACGACGGGTACCGAAATAAAACTTAAACTAACTTTATGTTAAGTATGATTTTGAAAATAAATAATGTTAGGTACCAAAAAGGAACAAAAGTAATAATTTAGATATTAAACGTGTAGTTTACACTATATTATAAAGGAACATGATCCAATTATAAGTGTAATTTTTTTTTAGTTTTATGCAGATTTAAGATCGTTGAATTAATAAAAATAGAAGATTAATGATAAAACATGAGAATATATTTATTAAAAAAAAGAATTAATCTTAATCTTTTATTTCCAATCATCTAACGATTTTAAATTTTTATAAAATTTAAAAAAAAATATTGTGAAAATAAATATTAACCAATAATAATAATAATAATTTTTTGGTGCAGAAATATATACTTTATAAGCTTCAATGAATGAACACAGTGCATTGAAAGGTGGACCATGAATGCGAGTTTTATCACCTTTATTCAATTACACAACAAAAAAAAATTATTTTGTTTAGAAATATCTAATAAATATACTTTTCAAGAAATTATAAAAAAAATTATTGTATTTTCTTAATAGTATGATTTTATTGTATTTACTAACACGCGATCATGTTTATTACATTAGTACAAAGTTTTTATTTACGTGACAAAAAATAATTTAAAATCATATTATGGGTTTGTATAATAGGGGTATTTATGTCTTTTAATTTTATATCAAAATATCTTTATAGAGTTTAATTGGTTAAAAATATCATTTCTTTAATAATTACATTTTTAATATATAAAAATTATTAATTTTTAGAAAATGATTGTTCAACTAAATTAATTTTTAATAGGTGGTAATGATTTATTTGGATAATAAAAAAAAAGGAAAATAGAAATGGAGGAACCTCTTAATGCCCAAATCTTTCATGGCAAGAGTGATATCTTTATCTGAAGCACCTTGCGATCTCAGATCATTAAGCTTATCATCCACCACTTTCCTCTCCATATTTATGTCTAAGCCTGTTTCCCCGTTCAATGTTTCTCCCATTCTGTATCCATTCTCAAGTATAAGTCCTGATCTTTCTCCTGATACATATGCTGCCCAAAATAAATGTAATTATATTAGACTAAATTTTCGTGTTTACTTCATGTTTAATTCCCATATGTTGAACTCATCAAACGATCTCAAAAAGTTAAATAGAGTATTGTTCACTTCAGAAGTATCGAATTCAAACCGTTACAGTTGTACGAGCACTAATAACTATTAAAAACTCCCAATCTCCCATAAGTTGGGAATTATTATTTCATAAATGGGTAAAGTTTGTTTACCAAATACCAACCTGTGGATACATGAACCAGTACTTGTAGTTTGACACATTGCTTGGCAAAGTCCACAACGTATTTAACTCCCATTGTGTTGAGGCCAAGTGCCACATCATATCTACATCCGACAGAAAAAAGAAACTGGTTTTTACTAATGTTTTTTTTAATGTTTGAAGAATTTATTAATTGCACCTTTCATCAAAGTTGGTAGTTGCAGCAAGGTTAAGGAGAACATCCACATCCTTTAGAATGTGTTGAATCAAAACAGAATCTTCAACACCCAAATCCCGACGGGATATGTCTCCGGGGATTACACTGATCTTCTCTGATATAAACGAAGTAAAGTTTTTCCCATACTTCTCCTTCAGATTTCTAAACAGATCCTTCCCTATGATCTGTAAACACAGAACCAATGTTAAAAAATAGTGCACTCTTGTAAGTTTTAATATTGCAGGGTAATCCGATATAAACCTCATTGTGGAGACGATGGATGGCGGATTTGTGGTCCGCTGCTCTTACAAGGAGATATAGTTTCTTCACATTAGGTTGAACCCTAAGTATTTTCTCCACAAAAACTGCATTCAAAACCAATATACACACAACATTAATGTGACATGGATATATGTGTATAATAATGATGACGAAAGGTTACTCACTCTTTGCCAAAAACCCAGTTCCACCGGTGACAAGAATAGATTTGTTGTCAAGAAACTGAAGAACACTTCCTAATTCCATGGCATAGGACAAGAAGAAGAAGAAGAAGAAGAAGAAGCAAAAGAAGAAGAAGAAAATTATTATCTTACTGAGGGAATGATTTAAGTG